AGTGATGTGTGTTGACAGGCTGAAAGCCCTGGGACACGGACAGGCACACGATGGTCTCTGGTTCCTAGGAGCCTTCTCTACAGGGGCTCTGAAACTTGTACAAAGCATCAAGCTTATCCAAGTTAGATCACTTTCTGGCAAATATCTATGGCAGACGCTGCCTAAAAGTGAGTCATTTTCCAAAAGTATGGAGGAGTTTTATAAAGACAGAATTTATGACTCAGTTTTCTATTGTTTAAGTGGACAGCTAGTTCTATCCATTACAAATTAGATTTTGCCTGCTTTTCCCAAAAGACAGAAACTGTAACTGAAAATAAAGAGGAGAGAAATAGGAAATAGTGACGTGAGTATGCTCTCTGGTCTGCTGTCATTTGAGAAGTGGCTAGATCCATGGAATTGGTACACGCAGTCACTGCCTTATTAAAGGGGACCGTCTGTCATTGAGAGCCTGGGTCCAGCACTAAATAAGACAGAGATCTGCACAAGTAATTATGTTTTCTAGTGTACCCACTGCAGTAAAAGAAACTTAAATCAGATTCTGAAAATATTTCTGTTAGGAAGAAAGGTGAAAAAAAAAAAAACAAAAAACAAAAGCCTCAAACATCAGAATCAATGGATGCGTCAACTTTAAAGAGAGATAAAAACTATAAAACACTGATGAAAGAAGTCAGAGACAACCTAGATAAAAGGAGACCCATCATGTTTATGGACTTGAAGATTTAACACAGTTATCACTTTTCCTCAAAGTAATCCATAGATTTAAAACAATTCCAATCAAAATCCCAGCAGAAGTTTTTCAAGGTACAGACAAGCCAATAATAAACTTTATATGAAAATGGCAAAGGAGTTTAAACAGCTAAAATGATTTATGATTTTGAGAGAACAAAAGTTAGAGTACTCATACTACCCAGTTTTAAGACTTACTATAGTGTTTGGATAAGGACAGATACATAGACCAATGGAGGAGAGCTGAGAAAGAGAATCTTGCAAATAAGGTCAACTGATTTTTGACAAAGGTATAAAGGCAACTTGATGGAGAAGGAGTAGTCTTTTCAATAAGTGATGCTGAGATAATTAAAAATCCATATGCAAAAAAACCCCAAAAAAACAAAAACCCTTAACCTATACCTTACATCTTATATAAAAATTAACTCAAAATGTGTCACAGACCTAAATGTAAAACATAAAACTCTTCGGAAAAAAACACCAAGGGAATCTTTGTGACTTTGGATTAGGCAGAGTTTTTAGGTATGACAACAAAAGCACAAACCTTTAAAGAAAACAACTGATAAACTGGACTTTATTGGAAATAAAGACATTTGCTCTGTGAAAGATCCTGACAAGAGTAAAAAGGTAAGCTACCGACTAAAAGAAAATACTTGCCTTTTAGATGTCCAACAAAGAACTTGTATCCAAATATATGAAGAACTCACAGAACTCAATAATAAAAAAGCCAAATTTTTAAAAATGGACAAAAGACTTAAGCAGATAGTTTACCAAATGAGCAAATAAAACTTACATATGAAATGGCAAAAGGGTTTAAATAGCTAAAATAATCACCATTAGAAAAACGTAAAATAATAAACCACACTGAAATACTACCACATACCCATCAGAATGGCTAAAATAAAAAGCTTAATATTAAGTGCGAGGAGAATGCAGAAAAAAATCGAACTTGCATATATTGCTGGCAGGAATGCAAAATGCACAGGCAGCCTGGAAAATGGTTTGACTAGTTATTATAAAGTTAACCATATATCTTCCATATGATTCAGTACTACTAGATACTTATCCCATAGAAATAAAAAACTATATTCACACAAAACTCTGTATATGAATGTCTTTAACAGCTCCATTGATAATCACCAATAACTGAAAACATCCCACATATCCTCCAGACAAATCGTGGTACCTCTCTCCAAGGCAATACTATCCAGCAATAAAAAGGAACATATCATTACACACAACATAGATAAATCTCAAATGCGCTACAATGAATAAAGGCCACTAGTCTTAAAAAATTACACGTTGTGGCTCATGCCTGTAATCCCAGCACTTTGGGAGGCCGAGGTGGGCAGATCATGAGGCCAGGAGTTTGAGACCAGCCTGACCAATATGATGAAACCCCATCTCTACTAATAATACGACAATTAGCCACGCATGGTGTCATACGCCTGTAATCCTAGTTACTTAGGAGCTGAGGCAGGAGAATTGGTTGAACCTGGGGGGCGGAGGTTACAGTGAGCTGAGATCGTGCCACTGCACTCCAGCTTGGGTGACAGAGCAAGACTATGTCTCAAAAAAAAAAAAAAAAAAAAAGATTACATGCTTTATGATTTCATTCATGTGATATTCCTGAAAAAGCAAAACTATAGATCAGTAGTTGCCAAGGGTTTGGGGTAGAGGAGGGTTGTGTTTGATTACCAAGAAGTAGCACAAAGGCTATTTTAGGGAGGATGTAGCAGTTTAGTATTCTTAGTGTGGTGGTGGTGGTGATTAACAGGAACATATGTATAAGTTAAAACTTGTGGTATTTCAAACCAAAAAATGAATTCATGTATGTAAACTTCATAAAATAATAAAAAAGAGATGGAAAGAGATATGAAACATATCTGTGTTGGGTTTGTTAGGATGGTAAACTCATCTCATCTTCTCTGGTGTGGGAGCAGATCTTATTTTTAATATAATACATTTATAATAGAAATTACTTGACTCACAAAGTTTTAAGCATGCACAAGCCAAAAACTTGAAACTGAATCACATTAATTTACTAACCTTAACACTGGACCCAAAAGCTACTTTTTATTAATCATATTTAAATGTAACATTTAAATGTATTATGTTCTTTGGCAGAACTTTAACTTTTCTTATGAAAACTAGGAATCAGATGAAAATGTTGTAAGCGAGTCTTTTCTGTGGTCCTGTCAACTCCATCAATAGTGTTGGGCAAATAGCTGATAAATTCAAAGAAACTTTGGGCAAATAACCTCTGTCTCATTACTGCCAAGCAGCAGCTGAAAGAACTGCCATTATTTACGTATATCAAAGTTGAAAACCTAAATTTTATTTATATCCTTTCTTCCATTTATGTCCCTGATACGGTTTGGCTGTGTCCCCACTAAAAGCTCATCTTGAATTCCCACGTGTTGTGGGAAGAGGATGTGGGAGATAATTGAATCATGGGCAAGCGTTTCCTGTGCTGTTCTTATGATATTGAATAAGCCTCATGAGATCTGATGGTTTTAAAAGGAGGAGCTCCCCTGCACAAGCTCTCTATCTGTGGCTGCTGCCATCAATGTAAGAGGTGGCTTGCTCCTACTTGCCTTCTGCCATGATTGGGAGGCTTCCCCAGCCACATGGAACCATAAGTCCAATTAAACAACTTTCTTGGGCCAGGTGTGGTGGCTCACACCTGTAATTCCAGCACCTTGGGAGACTGAGGTGGGTGGATCACCTAAGGTCAAGAGTTCAAGACCAGCCTGGCCAACATGGTGAACTCTAGTCTCTATTTAAAAAGACAAAAAAATTAGCTGGGCATTGTGGTGTGTACCTGTGGTCCCAGCTACTTGGGAAGCTGAGGCAGAAGGATATCTTGAACCCGGGAGGTGGAGGTTGCATGAGCTGAGATCACGACACTGCATTCCAGCCTGGGTGACAGAGCGAGACTCTGTCTCAATAAATAAATAAAATAAAATAAAATAAAATAAAATAAAATAAACACCTTTCTTTTGTAAACTTCCTAGTCTTGGGTATGTCTCTATCAGCAGTGTGAAAATGGACTAATACAGTCCCCTTATAAGAGTAGCAGCCCTATCATCTTAGCGAGTTCCTACTCTAAAATAGGTGCTTTAGATATGTTTTTATTTAACCCTTACAACAGCTCATTTTCTGGCTGAGGATGTAATTCAACAACTGCATACTTGTATGTGATGAATCTAACTTCTAGCTGTTAGCTACCCAACTCTCTTCCCAATTCCCAACTCCTCCAATGAAGTAATAAGAAATGAAAAACTTCTGCTTTACAGTGTCTTTCTTATATACTTCCCCCCAACCCACTTTTTTTTTGTGAGACAGGGTCTCTCTGTCACTGAAGCCTCAACCTCAAGTGATCCTCCCAATTCATACTCATGAGTAACTGAGACTACAGGCAAGCACCTCCATGCTACTTAACATTTTCAGCAGTTCTAGAAATAGAACATTAGAATGTAAAACTAGGTAAATCCATTACTGTTATTTGCATGATTCTTTATGATTATGAATTGAAGAGCTGAATGCAGTTAGAAGGAACAAAAATTGGGACAATGGTGAGCGGGTTTAAAAGGAGCACATGAGTTGGTACTTACCTCCCTGAGATCACATCCCATGAATGATTCATATTTGCATGTGTGTGCATGTGTGTATCTGATGATACATAAAGAAAAAAACATTTTGACGTATGGCATATGAGATCCTGAATGTACTTTCTTTTATACTTTAAGTGTTAACCTGACTCAGGGGAAAAAATGTATTTTATCTTCCTTGGCGGATTGAACAGACCATGAGAATTCCTACTGACCGCCAGTAGTTGGTTTCTGGCGCTGGTTTTCTTTTGCAAGCTCTCTTGCCAACTTTTAATTTCTACCTTCAGCTGCTTTGGAGCTCCACACTGACAGGAAAGGGGCCACTACCTTGCCTTCTAGATATATTATTTTAAAACAAGTATTTACAAATGGAGTGCCTTTATCAATTTTTAAAATATGATGTTTTCTGGCATGAAAAATAAAAATTTTCAAGTTAAGATAGCAACTATTCTTGGGCAAACAAGCAGATATGCAAAAGTGAACATATATCTTTCTTCTCTGTAGAGCACATCACTTGCAAAGAAAAAAAACTTTCAAAGATCCAAGTCGCACATGTCGAATTATCAGTTAACACCTGAGGCTATTTTCTGCTCTAGTTAAAGCACTAGGAATTCCTTAAACAAGTTTCCATCACATATTCTGGCAACCCCCTCCCCCAACACACACACTCAAACACACCTTTTCTCTAAAGTTCCTTATATTCGGAGTTTCTCTGACTAATTAATGTTTCTATTATCCTGGAGAATTAAGAAATAACTTTTAATCAAAGTGTAATCCAGTATGAACCTGAAAAAAATATGCCATCAGCTATTGTTGGAAGACAAACATCACAAGTTGACTTGTTTTGTTATAGCTTTATGATTTTTATAAGTGAAACAAATACAAAAGCTTAAAAATACAAATACAAATCCAAAAGCTCAATATAAAAGCTGAAATCTTAATAGGATGCTTATCTTTTTTCAAAACAATAAAGCATACTGAAACAATCTAATATTTTAAGAATGGTTCACGCAGCCACATTGCATTATAGATTTATATTAAGTTTATACTCAACTCAAATCTTAAGCCTGTTTCCTGTATATTATTATTAAACTATACTTCCTTTTAAAAAGATCATCCCTGGCCATTTGTAGTAGCTCATGCCTGTAATCTCAGAACTTTGGGAGACTGAGACAAGAGGATCACTTAAGCCCAGGAGTTCTAGAGAGCCTGGACAACATGGCAAAACCCTATCTCTGCAAAACAAAAACAAACAAACAAAAAACAAACCAAAAAAAAACCACAAAAAACAAAACCCGACCAACCAACCAACCAAACACAAAAATAAATTTGCCAGACATGGTGGCACATGCGTAGTCCCAGCTGCTCAAGAGGCTGAAGTGGGACAAATGCTTGAGCCTGGGAGGTCAAGGCTGCAGTGAGCCGTGATCTCACCACTGTACTCCAGCCTGGGTAACAGAATAAGATTCTGTCTCAAAAAAAAAGAAAAGAAAAAAGAAAAAGAAGAAGAAAAAGAAAAGATCACCCCCTTGTTCCTCAATGAGGGCATTTATATTTCTAAGTTCACTTCTGGCTTTCCTGCAGATATTTCTCTTGACCTTCATTTTTAAAGAAACAAAAGAAAACAAAACAAAAAAAATGACTCTCTTTTTCTAAAAGCACAGCATATTGAGTATTTGGAGTTCTGCCATTTCACATCTGGACATCTCTCAAGCTGAAATTCAACTTGGTGAAATGTGCTTTACTTAAACAATTTTTAAAGCAAGTAAGAGACAAATTTGTTCCTATGGATGCTCTTCTTTATCCCCTTCTCACCTCTGTCCTTAAGCCATATTCTTTCAGGTCAACTATTTTCCCTCAAGCTGAAGTCTTAAATGTCAGAGGCAATAACTGAGCTACTAAATATTTCTATTTCATCTCCCTTTTTACTTAGGATAAAGAAAAAGACCTAAAGGATATATGCAACTCATTTTCACTTACTTGAAAATCTTTTACTGGAATTAAGCCACAAAAGGTTAAAAAAGAAAACTCCAGAAGGAAAGTTGCTTAACAAAATAGTCACCAGATTCCTCAATCTTCAAAGAATGTAAAACAGTGATCAAAACAACAGCATCATTTAAATATTTGAAAAATAGGTAAAGCCAACCCTTTATCATGTAACAAGCATGGTAAGCATGTGAATGAGCATGATAAGCATGTGCCCTTCTTTTGCATGTGTACAGATGTTTGACTGGTTTAAAAATACTGGTTAAAAAATGTTAATACCATCCGAGTCACGGCGCTAGAAAAAAATTTATGTATATAAAATGTTAATACCAATCTAAACTCTTCATCCAAGACATAGTAGAGCAGCCAAAGTAGGGCTACAAATCCCAAACATAATGTGCCAGTGATCAAATACCAATAAATGACAGCATTCTAATGTCAGAAATGTCTCAGCTATTGCACTGTACATCACAATAACAGTCATATAGGCAGTGAGTTTCTCTTTCATTTCACCTAATAGCAGAGCTCTGGATAGACTGAGAACACAGACACACTGAATTCAGCTGAATGCATTTTTCAAGGTCCCATTGTGTTAAAAGCACTCCAGGTGACTCAAAAACCAAGGTGGAGGGAAAACAGTCTTTGTCCTAACCATCAGGTAACTTACAGTCCAATTGAGGGGGAGGGAGAGGCAAGTACAATGCGATGTTTAACACAAAAGTGTCTGAACAAATGTCAACAAGTTACAAACAACATACTATGATAGAGGTCTCTTCTGATTTCAATGACTGCTTCTAATGAGATTTCATAGAGGACAAATCACATGATGCAGGTGATGGGAAGAAACCGAGGCAGGACAGTAGCATGAACAAAGGTTTTTCACCAGGGGAATGATAGAATCAGGACTACATTTCAGGAAGATTAATCTGATGGAGGTAGGACAGGCTGGGAGTGGGTAGACCAAATGTAAGCAGCTAGCATGCTGGCAACTGGAAAGGGATAGAGAAAACAGAGAAGGAAAAGCTCATCCACAGAGCTGGCAAAAAATCAAGTGTGCCATGAAGAGCAGTGGAATTTTTAACATGACTGATGTCTTAGGGCCTGGGGTCAGTAATTTTAAAAATTAAGAGAATCCTGCCTGTAATCCCAGCACTCTGGAAGATGGAGGCTGATGGATCACTTGAGGTCAGGAGTTCAAGACCTGTCTGGCCAACATGGTGAAACCCCATCTGTATTAAAAATACAAAAATTAGCCTGGTGTGGTGGTGTATGCCTGTAATCCCATCTACTCAGGAGTCTGAGGTAGGAGAATTGCTTGAACCAGGAGGCAGAGGTTGCAGTGAGCTGAGATCATCATGCCACTGCACTCGGGTGACAGAGAAAGACTCCGTCTCAAAAAAAAAAAAAGCCCCCCCCAAAAAAGCAACCAATAGACTTTTGAGCAGTTTTAGGTTTACAGCAAAATTAAAGGAAAAGTACATGATTCCCATATAGCCCCTCACCTCTACCCATTAATGTTTTGCATTAGTGTGGAGCATTAGTTATAATCAATGAGGCCGATATCCATGTTATTAATAATTACAATCCATAGTTCATGTGAGGGGTCACTGATGGCATTGCCCATTCTGTATTTTGACAAATATGCAATCCACTATGACAGTATCATCCAGAGTAGTTTCATGTCCCTAAAAATCCTCCATGCTCTACCTATTCATCCCTCCCTCCCCTTAGTCCCTGGCAACTGCTGATCCTTTTACTGTCTCTGTAGCTTTGCCTTTTCCACAATGTCATGTACTTGGAATCATACTGTATGTAGCCCTTTTAGCCTTAGCTTCTTTGGATGGCCCAAAAGCTTCCACTTTTCACTGTGGCAAATCAATATTTCTGTGGCTTATGTGAAACATGGAAAGTTACTGAACTTCAATGTCATAAGGAATTCTAGGAATTTTATATGTATACGCTAACTAGCTTAAGTGTTTGAATTATGCCAGATTTTACCACTGTTCTAGACCATCATCCCTATTAAGAGTGCTGTTTGGGTAACAGACAGACCGGGTTCAGACCCAGAACTTTCTCTTCCAGCTCTGATCTTCATCTTTGAAATCTCAGGGGTTCTTAAAAATATATTTTGGGGAAAATGCCATGTTCCTCAAAGGAGTGCTGTAAGGGCTGCCTGTGATAATATGCCAATTATTTAGCACAGTACTTCACACAGAAGGAATACACAATAAATGATAACTATTAACGTGTAATGATCTCTGTATGGGCGCCTGTAGTCCCATCTACTTAGGAGTCTGAGGCAGGAGAATCGCTTGAACCTGGAGGCAGTGAAAATGCCTCTACCAATGAAAAAACATTTCTACCCATGAAAAAGCATTTAAAACTAGCCAAGGCCATGAAAGTTCCAAAGTAACATTTCTAAAAACTCATACATAGTATATAGCGATTAGAGGCAAAACACTGCAGTCATTAGAAATACTGTTTTCTGAAAATTGTAATTTGATAGACTGTCTAAAAATCAGTAAACTTCCACATTCTCAGTTGCCACTAGGTAACATCAGAGAAGCACTCCAGTCTCACTGCGGTACTAATTAGCTTTTCCTCTGCCTAATTCAAGAGATAACATCACATTTCAGAGTCTGGTTTCTTTACAGACTGACACCAATAAGGCCAAGTTATCTCCTAAAAGTCACCAATAAAGAAAGCAATTAAAAGGTTTTGATTTCAGGAAATCAAAAGTTTAGCTACGAAAGCAGAAAGGTTAGCATGTGTAAACTTGGTGCAGAGAAGGATCATGAATGTGTGAAGCCCCCTAGACTCCTAAGGTTTTAAATTTTCCCTCTCAACATACAAAAGCCTTATACAATGTCTGAGTTTCAATCTGTCCTACAATCTCTGTTTTTGGATGTCCCAGTAACTTCTGGGGGTAGGATTCTAGACCCTCGTCTTTAATAGCAAATTCTGGACTTTGGCTAATAATCAAGTTCTACTAAATTTTCTGTCTTCAAATAGTTTGTCTTTCAAACTCTGACACACTTCTATCTCTCAATTTCCCTGTTAATGCAATATGAGAGTAGGAATTAGAATCCATCTCCAAAGTACCCTGGTGATTATCTGCAATGAAATATAATCTTGACCTAAGGATTTTGATGAAGGGCTATATGCCAATTGTCTGTATAAACTCACTTAAGAAAGATATTTCAACACGAGGTCAAGAGATCGAGACCATCCTGGCTAACATGGTGAAACCCTGTCTCTACTAAAAATACAAAAAAAATTAGCTGGGCGTGGTGGCGTGTGCCTGTAGTCCCAGCTACTTGGGAGGTTGAGGCAGGAGAATTGCTTGAACCTGGGAGGCGGAGGTTGCAGTGAGCCGAGATCGTGCTACTGCACTCCAGCCTGGTCCCTGGTGACTGAGTGAGACTCTGTCTCAAAAAAAAAAAAAAAAAAAAAAAGAAAGACATTTCCTCTTTTTGTTTAAATGGGATTTCAGTTTTATATCAGGAGGCAGTGTACCAGTCTCAGCAGATGGAACATGATTGGTCTACTCAACCAGTACAACTCTATTCCCTACTGTCTTAGCTTTCTTCACAGCTAGGGGTGCAGCAGTAGCTAGCTCAGGCCAAGGGCATCTAAGTGAAAATCTGCAGGGGGAGAGAGTAGGAAACAGGCTTCTGACAGAGGTTTTACTTTCTGATAGGAGTTGACAGGTCCAGCCAGCTTGGCCCTGCTTCTTCCCGCACTCCTTCGGTCCTTGAACACAGGCATAATTCTTGGAGATGTGGCAGCCACCTTGTGACCATGAAGTAACAAGCAAACGAGAGCAAGCCAAAAGAATCTCAGAGATATGACCCCTATCATCATGGAGCTGTTGAATGAATACCATTAGCCACCCATCTCTGGAATTAATGCTATGTGGAAAAACAAACTTCTGTTTGTTTAAAACACTGCAACCAAGGTTTTCCTTTACTTGCAGCTGAATGTAGTCCATATAATAGTTTACATAAAGACAAAAATGCAGAAGGATCCTTGCCCCTGGGAAGTTGGAGCCAGCAGCATGTGGCTCTCCAAGCCCATCTCCGTTTTCATTTCATCCTCTCAAAAATGCTTCACGGGTAAGGCCATGATGTTATTGTCACAGAGGTGGGAACTGAGGCTCCCACACTGTTTAGCAT